ATATTAAAAAACAAAAGATTTTCACAATGGGATAGGTGAAGTAAATTCCAACATGACAAACCGGATCACTGTGCGTTCTGGTCCATTTGGAGCACTGAAGCTGAAAACCTATTAATATTTTTAATTTATATCAATTTTTATTTTAAAAATGTTGCCCATATACTTAAATCTAAACATTTCACAACTATTTTTGAAAGCAGATCCTGCTCGAGATATATATTATTACATAATATGTCTATGTTTTCTCAAAATGTCGATTGTCACATCATAAAACGGTATTTATCCTTTGGTAGTCAGATAGTTCAGTGAATTATGTATTAGGTAACAGTAGTAACCTATGATTTTGATTAAAATATTCAGTTTCAATAAAATATGTTAATTTGTGTTTAATTTTTTAGTCATGTATTATGATAATAGCAGAAGATATAATAATATGACGATCGTACTGCACGTTTAGAATAAATCGTGTTGGTCGCCAAAAAATGCAACCTTGACACTTTCTCTCGCATTCCGAGGCTGTCGAATGATATCTTGCATTTTCACCCCTTATCCGAAGTGTTAATTTTAAGTACCTACACATGCGTATACTTCATAGTCTACGTACGACATAATGTGGTCACATTCCATTTATACTTATTATTTAATCGCATATTATATTGTGTAATTAATTATTATCATATTAATGTATAATGGGTACATTATTAATTGTTATTAACTTATAAGTCAATATCACGGCGTACAGCGTAGATTTGCCTGAATATTATTTCTTGGTATAGATAATCAGCTTAAAATTAATTCAAATATTTTGGACGTTTCATTGAGGTGAAAATAGTTTCAAGTTCTTATGATTAAAATATTTTTACCTACAACAACATAATAACCAAAACCGTTATGTCCCTTTAAAATATCCAATTTCGTCAAAAGAGAACTTCATATTATAACTACGCATTCTTTAAATAAATATTTTAAAATTGTACATAACATTAAGTATTGTATTTTCGAGATTTTTCGATTGCTGTTGAACACATTTTTAAGGACCCTTCGAAGTTGGTAACTCGGCTTGTTAGTAAAATATTATAAAACCGACAGCTGCAAGAAGGCAAGACCCACGACACACCCCTGCGACAATGAAAACCTGTTTTATTTACGGTCACACGTGCACTCTTATAATAACGTCGCCTTAACGTCGCCTTCGCGTCGCCGCCTCGCCGGCACCACATGTCCACATTCCTTATATTATTATTGTTACTATACGAATTCACCATGACATTTTAGGAGACAACATAAATAAAACCCCGACCACCTGTTGGGACGACGACGCCGACGACGACAACAAAGAGGGTCTTTCGTGATGGTAGGCAGATGTGACTTGTTGATGCCCTTTGTGTAATGCGTAACCTACCATTTCTAGCAACCCCATTGTATGCGATTTACTAAGGGTGTATTTTTTTCCTCGTCCAAAAATGTGATATCGGCACGTCCACGCTTATATACTTATTAATATGGCCACTATTTTGTCGTACCTACTTAATTTGCTATGGTTATAATATTTTTTCCTGTTAACTTTTAAAACATTCCAGTATGAGTATGCTTACGATATGAAGGTTGCAGTGTTGTAATGTATTCGAGAAAAAAATATTTAAATACTTATTTCCGTATTGAATACTTTTTAAATTCTCTTTTTAGAAATACATATTTTAATTGTATTTTAAATAGGTACTTTTTATTATTGTTGAATACTAATTTATTGAGTATTTTTTTTTTATTCCTTTGATTCGTAATTTATGTCTATGTATAATTTTTGTTAAATAAAATGACTACGCCGTCGTGGTCATGTTTCAACATTATAACAAAGATAATAGTATAAAATAATAATGTTATACATTTTTATCATTTATGTGCAATGCGATGTCGATTTTTGTCTATTCATAGCTTAATTAAATGTTTTTTTTCTCCGAGGCTTTCTGGAGACACAGTTTTCGTCGACGACTATCGAAACACGTTGGTACAAATATAGCTGTTAATCAAAAGTTTATTGCTTATATATTTTGTTATTTACTGTAAAATTATACTTTATAATTTCACTGAATACTGGTAATCGGAATAAAAGTCCATAGGAAAAAAAACCCGACCCTCGAGAACAAAATCCACAGACAACAATATTACTCACAACCACATGAAAATGGTTGACAAATATTTTTCAAACGTTAATTAGTATCTGTAATTATTAATTACCACATTATTAATATTTAATTACAAATATGTTCAAAAATTAATATATGCTATATAGGTAGTGATAATAGAATATTAATGATACTATAAATAATTTTACTATAAATAATATTTTGTTTTATATTGTTATGCATTTATGTATAATTCTGTAAAATATAAACAACAAAAGTTTGCAAATTATAATACTGTAGTTTAAATATGAAAATGTTAAACAAATAAAGACATTTTTATACATTTTACTTTATATAGATGTAATACTATAAAATAAAAATAAAAATAATTATCAAACTATAGTTATAAATTATAACGAGTGTATCAACTCATATTTCAGCATTAAAAATAAAGCATATAAAAATATTTTTTCGAATGATCGATTGGTAAATCAAAATATAATACAGTTATATGTAGTAAACAAAAATATTTAAGATACATAAATAATACAAATTATAGGTAATAATATAATAAAATTATTATTATCGGACAATAATTATTGAATGTAGACACCTATTCACAGTTGTCACAGACCACAATAAAAACATAGCATATAAAAATATTTCGAATGTTTGTTCAACCATTTTTATGTGGTTGTGAGTAATATACTAATATTGTAGACTGGGCATTTTTTCCCGTGGATTTTTATTCCACAATTCACATAATAATATACAGTGTTAAGCTATAAGTAAAAAACATTAGGTGTATGAGTATTATATTTTGTTATAGATACACGCCACATGGTAATTACTAATTATAGGAGTATTCATGTGTTCACGTTTATATTAAATTTTTTCAGGGCCTTTTTCCGCGATTCGTATGTGCAAGACGGAGACAATAACTGACTGAAAGGGTGTAGCATTTTCTTAATATCATTTATATTTTGCAGACATTTCTTTATTCTTATTTAAGTTTAAACTTTTTTTATTTATAATAAAAAACCTGTCCCTTATATTATTAAATAGGTATCGAAACACATATCAAAATCAGTAAATAAGTAGGTATTAAAATATTTAATTAATATATATAGACATACAGTGATCGCCGCTTATTGGACTCACTTTGGGACCTGACCATTTGAGTCCATTAACCGAACGAGTCAATAAGGCGAATGACCCAAAAAAAAATTTTAAAATCCTTAAATTTAAAAACTTATTTAATTAAATATATTTATTGAGATCCAAGGTATGTATGTATAAAAATAAAAATCTAGCTATACGTGATTAAAAATAAAATAATATGTAATATAATAATGTATGTAAAATCTAATTAATTTTTCGATAAAAATCCATCTAGGGTTGATTGGATTTTCCCTTCTTCGGCCAACTTCATAATCATATCTTCGTAAGATTTAAGTAGCTCGAATAAGTCAAAACCGCCTCTTTGCTAAATCCCTCGACGTAAAATTTGAAGCGCAAAATACTGGTACCTACTTATTTTGCATTTATAACACGTTTGTTCAGTGTGTGTACATATTTTATTTATTTATCTAATTTTCAAATGATCCTATTAACCGGTGTGTGAGTCGAATAGACGAATTTTTTGCTGTGTGTTAGTATATGTGCAAATCGGGACCAGCCGTTTTGAGTCTAGTATGTGAATGAGTCAATTAACCGTGAGTTCAATAAGCGGCGACCACTGTACATTTATTAATATTAAAATTGTCTTCCTTTTTAGTTTTGGTCCACAAAGTTTAATATCATATAGATGTTGGAATACTTCGATTAAACAATTTTAAATATCGCTTTTGGTACTTATACTACTACGCTTATTTGAATAAAATGGGAACTATATGTCTCCCAAAATATGTGGAAAACCAATTAGAAAAATACGCCCGTGCGACGTGTTCATAATAATAATACAAAATAGAATTATTTAAAGTCACAGGCATGACGTGTTGTCTTCGTCTTGCAATTGGGTAACATCGACAATTTACTTTCAGAAGACTAGCTCCGTTAGTTTAAAAATTACAGTATATCGACATATTATTGTTATGATAGTTCAAGTTTTTAGCAAGTTATGCGTATGTAATAGAACGTAAATTAAAAATGTTCATTACTCTCTTAAAAACTGAATTATTGTGAAAACCCACACAAAAACACAGATAATATACTTACCCTCAAGTTTTATAATAAATTGATTCACTGTAATTGTATAAGGGACGGAGATAAACGTCGCTATTTTGCACACTTATAACAAGACGGAGACAACAAATGTCCGTGTTAACGTAGGGTTGCCATTCGTCCCGATTTCGCCAGGACACTACCGGTTTTTACTACAGAGTCCCGATATTTTTCATTTCCCGGCCGGGACGTGGATAAGTACCGGTTTCTTAAAATAAGATTTAAACAATACACATATTAGTAATTAAGTAAGACCACTCTGTTTTAAATTAAAAATTGTGTACCTAATTAATTTTTTTAGATAATTTAAAATTATATTTATGAATAAGATAATAATAATACTATTATTACATTTTGTGCTATTTCTAAT